TCCCCCACACCCCCCCTGCCCCAGCCCTCCCCACACCCCCCTGCCCCAGCCCTCCCCACACCCCCCCTGCCCCAGCCCTCCCCACACCCCCCCCTGCCCCAGCCATCCCCTCACCCCCCTGCCCCAGCCCTCCCCAACCCCCACCCCCCCCCCCCCCCTGCCCCACCCATTCCCACACCCCCCTGCCCCAGCCCTCCCCAAACCCCCCCCCCCCCCTGCCCCAGCCATTCCCACACCCCCCCTGCCCCAGCCCTCCCCACTACTCGACAACTCGTCGTCAGAGATTTACAAATGTGTATTTATGGGATGGTTGATCCACAAGCGGCGGCGGCCAGCCTTCCTGGCTCCAATTATAGATCTGTTATGGAGATATGTCCGCCCCTCCCTCCACTACACCCTCCCTCCGCTACACCCTCCCTCCACTACACCCTCCCTCCGCTACACCCTCCCTCCACTACACCCTCCCTCCGCTACACCCTCCCTCCACTACACCCTCCCTCCACTACACCCTCCCTCCGCTACACCCTCCCTCCACTACACCCTCCCTCCACTACACCCTCCCTCCGCTACACCCTCCTTCCCTTCACTACACCCTCCGGACACCCTGGGGAGGGTGGGGGCGAACAGAACACAAAGGGTAACAGTCAATCAAATAAAATAAAGTCGGAGCGCAGTTAAAAGCTGTGTACCTCAAGGTACAGTCCTTGCACCGCTACTGTTCCTTATTCTCATATCAGATATAGACAAAAATATAGCTTCGTGTCATCCTTTGCAGATGACACAATTATCAGCATGCAAATTACCTCTGATGAAGACATTGAAAACTACAAATCAGATATTAACAAAGTTTTCGACTGGGCAGCAGAAAATAACATGATGTTTAACGGTGATATTCCAGGTGCTCAGGTACGGTAAAAATGAGGATCTGAAACATAATACAATGTACAAAACACAATCGAATCTGCCCATAGTAGGAAAACAGCATGTCAAGGATTTGGGAATAATGATGTCTGACGACCTAACGTTTAGGGAGCATAACCAAGCAAATATTGCGTCAGCCAGAAAAATGATAGGATGGATTACGAGAACTTTCAAATCCAGGGATCCCATCACAGTGGTTGTACTCTTCAAGTCACTTGTGTTGTCCCGTCTTGAGTACTGCTCAGTACTCACTTCCCCCTTCAGAGCAGGAGAGATTGCTGAAATAGAGGGAATACAGAGAACATATACGGCACGCAATAAAGCACCTAAATTATTGGGATCGTCTCAAAGCCCTCCAAATGTGCTCACTTGAAAGGAGACGAGAGAGATACGAAATAATATACACATGGAAAATACTGGAGGGCCAGGTACCAAATCTACACAGTAAAATAACAACATACTGAAGTGAACGATAAGGAAGAACACGCAGAATAGAACCAGTAAAGAGCAGAGGTGCCATAGGCACAATCAGAGAACACTGTATAAACATCAGAGGTCCGCGGTTGTTTAACACCCAGCGAGCATAAGAAATATTGCCGGACCAACCGGGCTGTGGTGGGTATGTGGGCCTGCGGGCCGCTCCAAGCAACAGCCTGGTGGACCAAACTCTCACAAGTCAAGCCTGGCCTCGGACCGGGCTTGGGGAGTAGAAGAACTCTCAGAACCCCATCAACCAGGTACCCTCCTTCCCTTCACTACAATCCTCCCCCTAATATGTCACCCCTCCCCCATAACATGTCACCCCCCTAACCGTAACATGTCACCCCTCCCCCATTGCCTTACACACATGTCACCCCCTACCCCACCACAGAAAGGAGGGAGGAGAGGACCCCTGTAACATTTAGTTAAACACCACTTAATCTAGGGAATGGCGGCCCCTTGACACACTTCATTTATCCCCTGCTCTCCTAATTTGATCAGTGGACGGGGTTAGTTAACATCCATCCCGCACCCCTCCCCCCCTCACGCATCTCCTCACGCAACCCCTCCCCACCCCACACCCTCCCAGGCCCAAGAAGGCAGCATGGTGGACCAACCTGTCCTCTTAAAAAGAACGTCGCTTTTGGCCGTTTGCCCGTATGGCCGAATTTGGACGTAATTTGAAAATGAAAAAAAAATGAAAACAAATTTGGATTTTTTTTTTTCAACAACAGTAAGTTAAGGGTCCTCTGATAGGTTAGGTGGGCAGGAAATTCTTATAAAGTTTCAAAACGTTATGAAAAACGTTAATTTAAAGTGTCCTCTTATAGCCTCTGCGCGTAGGCAGGACGACTCAAACAGAAAACGGAACAGAACGTCACTTTTGTGAGTCGATTTCATTTCAAATTACGTCCAAATTTAGCCATATCGCGCATACGGGCCAAAAGTGACGTTCTTTTTAAGAGGACGGGTTGGGTGGACAGCACGAGCATCAGTCTCCCGTGGACGCCATAGTGACCCCTAAGAGCTCCCTCACTAAGGCAGTGTTCCCCGAGGCCCGCCACTCTTGTCAGACGCCAGCGGTGGTGATTTGGATGATGGAATCCGGAACCATTGGCCATGTATGGCCGTATATGCGTCCATCTCAGTTATTGTCTTTATGGATTATCTGTCACTGTCTCTTTCTCCCACACAAATGGAGGCACCCTCGGGTAAGCTGCAACTTGGCTACATTTACTGAGGCTGCCATGTTTGTGGCTGGTGGTGGTGTAGGTGGTGGTGGTGATGTAGGTGGTTGTGGTGTGGTGGTGTAGGTGGTGGTGGTGGTGATGAAGGTGGTGGTGGTGATGTAGGTGGTCGTGGTGTAGGTGGTCGTGGTGATGTAGGTGGTAGTGGTGGTGATGTAGGTGGTAGTGGTGGTGATGTAGGTGGTAGTGGTGGTGATGTAGGTGGTGGTGGTGGTGTAGGTGGTGGTAACTCAGGTCTTTCAATGGTCCACAGATAATAATATGATGCTATCTTGAGGTTATCTTGAGATGATTTCGGGGCTTTAGTGTCCCGCGGCCCGGTCTTCGACCAGGCCTCCACCCCCAGGAAGCAGCCCGTGACAGCTGACTAACACCCAGGTACCTATTATTTAATGAAACTAAGTTCCAGTTCCTGCGCTATGGAAAAAACCGAAAATATAAAAACGGAAACCATATATAAAACAGTGAACTCACACTATAGAACTACAGAGCACTATAAATGGTGTCGGAGTAATCATGTCAGAAGACCTTTACACAACACCGTAAAGCAGCCGTCACGACTGAAGCAAGAATGACAGGTTGGATAACAAGGACCTTCCAAACATATGCCATACCATTGGTGATACATTCCAAGACACAAGTGCTCTCTAGGGTGGAGTATTGTTGCACTAACAGCCTCATTCACAGCCGGAGAAAATGCTGACCTGGAGAGCGTGCAAAGATCCTTTACCGCTAGAATCCTCTCTATAAGTCATCTTAATTATTAGGACCGGTTAAAAGTTATAAAACTGTATTCTCTAGACCGCAGTCGAGAGAGAGAAATAAGTCTACACGTGGAAGATATTAGAGGGACTGGTTCCATACCTGAACACGGAGATTATACCACATGAGACCAGGAGGCATGGCAGGATGTGCAGAATACCCCTGTTGATCACCAGAGGTGCAACAGGTACTCTGAGGGAAAACTATCAACACCGCATTACTCCAAAACTTTCTCATAGATATATTGTGTCATTGTGATTTCATTTTGAAGTATGTCAGCAACCGGGCCGCGGGGACGTTGAGCCCCGAAATCATGGTAAGGTATATGTATGTCTTGTTGACATTTAGAACCTGCGGGTAACCGCTGCCTGAGCGGGTATTGCTTCGGGTTTTACGGTGGAGTGATTATTCTTGCAAGGCTAGTCAAGAACAGCCTAATAGATCAAGCAGTCCCCATGGCGCAGTGGTACACCACACTCACGGCGCTTCCCCGGCGATTTGGCCTGGGTTCGTATCCTAGCCGGCGAGGATTGAGTAGGCACCAATCCTTAACTGTAGCCTCTGTTCACCCAGCAGTGAATGGGTACCTGGTTGTTAAACAATTTGGCGGGTCGTATTCCAGGGAAAATTTAGGATTAAGAAAACCCGAAACGCTATGGGAGCTGGTGGCTGTATAAGAATGTATGAACTCTTGTATTACTTGTATTATTATGTGGGCCTGCGGGCTGCTGCAAGCAACAGCCTGGTCGACCAACCTCTCACAAGACATACATGGCCCCCAGGCCGGGCTTGGTGGGTAGAGGAACACTGGAAACCCACTCCAGGTAAAATCCAGGTGGCTCTCCATTCCATAACTACAGTTTTGGCTCCGCCTGTGTGCTAAATCTTGGTTTATTCTGTGCTGAAGAAACCTGTGCCACTGAAGTAGCTCAGTTTACCTGTATTAACCTGTTATGGGTTTCGAGAGTTGTTGCTCTCGCCAAGACCGGGCTGGGAAGGGAATTATTAGGGGAAAATGGCAGGCCATTCCGACTAAATAGCCCTTGGAAGGGGTCAGGATAGGGCCACTTGGAAGGGGTCAGGACAAGGCCACTTGGAAGGGGTCAGGATAGGGCCACTTGCAAGGGGTCAGGATAGGGCCACTTGCAAGGGGTCAGGATAAGGCCACTTGGAAGGGGTCAGGACAAGGCCGCTTGGAAGGGGTCAGGATAGGGCCACTTGCAAGGGGTCAGGATAGGGCCACTTGCAAGGGGTCAGGATAGGGCCACTTGCAAGGGGTCAGGATAAGGCCACTTGGAAGGGGTCAGGATAAGGCCACTTGGAAGGGGTCAGGATAGGGCCACTTGCAAGGGGTCAGGATAAGGGCCTCGCTTGGTTTGGGGATAACTTGTTCCACCAGGCTGTTGCAGTGATGACTTTGTATTCCCCCCCCCCCCCCGTCGAGTTCATGTTGTTCATATAAATTATGCCTTATACTGGGATATGAGGGGAGTGAGGTAGAAGGCTCTTGACACTGATATCATGTGGCAGTATAAGGCCAACACTGCGTGTCCTGCCGTGATGCTAACTCTCTTGTTTTCTTCTTTGCAGACTTACTGAAGCGAACGACCGACGATACTTGTAACGAGGTGATTACAGGTAAGCCATAGGTTGTTACGCCCACGCTAGAGGGAGGCATGGGTGTTCACACCACCAGCCTCTTGACACCACCAGCCTCTGACGCCACCTGCCTCTTGACACCACCAGCCTCTGACGCCACCAGCCTCTTGACACCACCTGCCTTCTTGACACCACCTGCCTTCTTGACACCACCTGCCTTCTTGACACCACCTGCCTTCTTGACACCACCTGCCTTCTTGACACCACCACCAGCCTCTTGACACCACCACCAGCCTCTTGACACCACCACCAGCCTCTTGACACCACCAGCTGCTGTACTCCTCACGTGGTGTGGCGGGCCACTAACAAGCACAGCAACACAGGTGAACAAAAACAGTACAAAGACAAGGGACCAGGCCTGAACAAACAGTTACTCATCTACTTGCCAACTAGTATGTTCTCACTGTTTTGGCGGGCGTGTGTAAACAGTTTACCAGCATGGCAACTTGTTATTGTTATAAAGAGCCTCCTCCTGCTTATACGAGGATATATATATAATATATATATATATATATGTGTGTGTGTGTGTGTGTGTGTGTGTGTGTGTGTGTGTGTGTGTGTGTGTGTGTGTGGACAAAGGCGCCAAAGACTGAGACAGGCTGTAGAGGTTGGTGAGTGGTTGCATAACCGCTTGATGAACCCCCGACCTCCTGGTCACTCTACTCATAAACTCACACACATGAAACTCTCCCAGACATTTTCCTGCGGCCAGTAATAGGTGTGTGGATCAGGGCCTGGAGCCCCAGGGGCGCCCCCTGTAGCCTCGTACGGTTCCTTAGCCCTTCAAACTGTGCACCAAGGGAATAATTGTGAAAGTGGAAACAGGAAATATATATATATATATATATATATATATATATATATATATATATATATATATATATATATATATATATATATATATATATACAAAAAAATCCATATTAAACAAAGACAAAGTGTTGTAGTCAATAGGGTCCACTAGCGAAACCTGTACATCTTTCCTACATCACTACATATTGGTACTTTCTGGTGGTCCATCAGTACATATGGGTACTTTCTGGTGGTCCATCAGTACATATGGGTACTTTCTGGTGGTCCATCAGTACATATGGGTACTTTCTGGTGGTCCATCACTACATATTGGTACTTTCTGGTGGTCCATCACTACATATTGGTACTTTCTGGCGGTCCATCACTACATATTGGTACTTTCTGGTGGTCCATCACTACATATTGGTACTTTCTGGTGGTCCATCACTACATATTGGTACTTTCTGGCGGTCCATCACTACATATTGGTACTTTCTGGCGGTCCATCACTACATATTGGTACTTTCTGGTGGTCCATCACTACATATTGGTACTTTCTGGCGGTCCATCACTACATATTGGTACTTTCTGGTGGTCCATCACTACATATTGGTACTTTCTGGCGGTCCATCACTACATATTGGTACTTTCCATCAAACAGCTACTGTAAGTACTTTCATTTCACGAGTCTGGGCTGCAATTCTCACACTTAAGGGCCCCAGGCGAGGCCTGCATGTTTCAGTCGACCTTATGAATGCAGCTAAGTATCTTGCATGTCGTGACCATGTTCCAAGTACGTGGTGTGCTTGTCTAGCGGCCACGGTTGTGTGTGTGGAGGGGGGAGTGGGGGGGGGAGAGGTTGGCAGCGTCGGCGGCTGAGGCCTATACATAAGTCATGGAATATTTATAGCTGTCGTAGAGATTGGGTGTAGAAGGGCGGTGGACGAGGCTTGGAGGGGTGTGTGGGGGTCGTGGGGGGGGGGGTGACGCCGGCTTCCTGTTATGCCTGGGGGGCTGTGGCACCCGGCGGCACTCGGCGCCACGCGCCTCTCCGCCCATCGCCACCCTCCCGCGCCTTGACTACTCTTCCCTACACTAGTTTACCGGGTGGTAGTGTTGAGCAGGTGTGTGTAGGGAAGGTGTAGTGTGGCGCCAGGCCCCCCCCCCCTGCTGCTGCCAGCCATCTCGAGCACAACCACTTCCGTCCTGCCGGGAAATTCCTGGCGTGAAGTTGACACAACCGCTTGCGGTGGCGCTGTGGGCCGCGGTCACCCGCGGTACTACCTCATCCACCATACGTAAGTGTTTCTTGTACATATATACCCCCCCCCCTCTTACACCCACACTGTCACCCGTCTCTTACACCCACACTGTCACACCCGTCTCTTACACCCACACTGTCACACCCGTCTCTTACACCCACACTGTCACCCGTCTCTTACACCCACACTGTCACCCGTCTCTTACACCCACACTGTCACCCGTCTCTTACACCCACACTGTCAACCCGTCTCTTACACCCACACTGTCAACCCGTCTCTTACACCCACACTGTCAACCCGTCTCTTACACCCACACTGTCACCCGTCTCTTACACCCACACTGTCACCCGTCTCTTACACCCTCACTGTCACCCGTCTCTTACACCCACACTGTCACCCGTCTCTTACACCTACACTGTCACCCGTCTCTTACACCTACACTGTCACCCGTCTCTTACACCCTCACTGTCACCCGTCTCTTACACCCACACTGTCACCCGTCTCTTACACCCACACTGTCACCCGTCTCTTACACCCACACTGTCACCCGTCTCTTACACCCACACTGTCACCCGTCTCTTACACCCACACTGTCACCCGTCTCTTACACCCACACTGTCACCCGTCTCTTACACCCTCACTTTCACCCGTCTCTTACACCCACACTGTCACCCGTCTCTTACACCCTCACTGTCACCCGTCTCTTACACCCACACTGTCACCCGTCTCTTACACCCACACTGTCACCCGTCTCTTACACCCACACTGTCACCCGTCTCTTACACCCTCACTTTCACCCGTCTCTTACACCCACACTGTCACCCGTCTCTTACACCCTCACTGTCACCCGTCTCTTACACCCACACTGTCACCCGTCTCTTACACCCTCACTGTCACCCGTCTCTTACACCCTCACTTTCACCCGTCTCTTACACCCACACTGTCACCCGTCTCTTACACCCTCACTGTCACCCGTCTCTTACACCCACACTGTCACCCGTCTCTTACACCCTCACTGTCACCCGTCTCTTACACCCACACTGTCACCCGTCTCTTACACCTACACTGTCATCTCTGTTAAACGTACACTGTCATCCCTCTATTAAGTGTACTTTAGTAGCCCACTGTAAAGTGTACACTCCTCTGTTAAGTGTAGCTACACTTGGTGTCAGAATATTCAGTGCCTTTTGTCATGACACTTGGCCACAACTATGGCGAGTTAAGTGGTTTAAGTGCTCACAACTATGGCGAGTTAAGTGGTTTAAGTGCTCTAATTTTAACTGCTGAACAAACTCTAGGAAAATATGTGTACATGGGTGGTGTTGACGGCGGAGTGATGCGTGGCACTCATTCCCAGAGTGTATTGTGTGTAGTCATACATGAGTATGACCTCATGTAGTGTGTGTATTGTGTATAGTCATACATGAGTATGACCTCTTGTAGTGTGTGTATTGTGTGTAGTCATACATGAGTATGACCTCTTGTATTGTGTGTAGTCATACATGAGGAGTATGACCTCATGTAGTGTGTGTATTGTGTATAGTCATACATGAGTATGACCTCATGTATTGTGTATAGTCATACAAGAGGAGTCCCTCCCTGCCTGTGCAGCGTGGCACATGTGAATTGTGTTGTATATTGGGCCGGTTACTCTGGCGTTCCTCCTGGCGCCGAGGCTGTATATGTAAGGGGGGGGGGCGTGGTGGGGGCGTGTGCCAGTAGTGGCCCCGCCCCTCTTGTGTCCATCCACCAGTCAGGTGTGGCCACTCCCCTCTCTGCCCTCCACGACTGCTGCCCCGCCTCCTCCTGACCTATCTTAGCTCCGCCTCTCCTTCCTTCTGAGGCTCATCCTCTTACTGTTGCAACTATACCCCCTCCCCCCCCCTGCCCTTGCTTGCCTATGTTGCATCTTCCTCAACCTCTACTGTCATCTTGCACAATCTCACCTAACGTGACTCTGGAGGGAGCCTTCTGACGGCTTGGTGTGCACTGAGACGTCGTGGACTTGTGCACTCCCCCAGGGCCTCCTCCTCCCCCGTCTTCCCCCCTTGCTGCGCCTCGCTGATTCACCACTATTGTGCACTACACCCTTCAGAACCAAAAGGACACGTGTATGGATTAAAGGGAGAGGCATAATTTAAGACTCTGGTTGATGGTTGTCTTGTGTGGGGCAGGCAAGATGCGCCCCTCTACCGCGGCTGGCGACTCAGTCGTCCCGGTGGCAAGTTGTGGCATAGCACGTTCCTTACCCGCGGTGCTGGGGGGGGGGAGAGTTTGCACCATGGGAGATGGGAGGGTGGATATCTGATGAGATAATACATTCTAGCTTCCCTGGAATGTCTGGAAACCTTACTCCCCCATACAAGAAGTGGATTCTCCCACGAGTGTCGAGGGCAGGCATTGGTAACAGTATCATTCCGGCACATGGAGCGCCACCATTGGTCAGGCGGTGTGCGGGGCTCGTCGGGATTCGACGCAGTGAACGTCGAGCTTCTGCTCACTCTTTAGTCCCTTGAAAGACCTCCAAGTGACAACAGTACCTTCTCCAAACCTCAAAGGCTTCATCAAGACCATGGCTCCTCTACTCTCATTAAGTAATTTTGGCGTCAGTTTCTTGAATTCTCTCTCAAGAGCGGTAATTTTGTCTTGTAGTTGGGAGACTTTCAAGGTATATTTCATCGAAGCGTCGTATCTCTTCATCGGAACAGTGACGTAGGTGAGTACATGAACTCTGGCTTTATAGTGAAGGATCTCGGCATGTTTTAGTGATTTCCTTCACTCCTAAAACAGTGATTTCTAATCATTTAGTGATTTCTAATCACTCCTCAAATTTCCGTGGCACTTTTGTTAAAGAAAAATTGGATTTGAACACGATATTTGTAGCTACTCTTTGGAAAGCATTTGCCAGGAATTCTTATGAAGGAA